GAGTATAAAACACACCTCCATTTGTTATACTCATCTGTCTGTATTTCTTAGTTTATTAAAAGTTTCAAGTAATCCCAAATTTAAAACTCATATTCTGAAGATTTTTTGATACACAATTTTTTTTTATATAACATCTCTGCCTGTCTTCGAATTCACTTTGTATACCAGGCTGGTCATGAACTCATGAAAATCTGCCTGTCTCTGACTCCCAAGTGCTGGGATTAAAGGTATGTGCCACCCTCCTGCTGAACATGTTTCCCTTTTCCAAGAAATAGGTGTATTTCTATTTCTGATATATGCGGTACATGGAGTGGCTGTAGGTTGCTTTGAAAGGTATAACGCCAAAGCACAAAATTCATTCTCCATCCTAATTTGCAGGATAACTGGCTTGAACAAGGTCTTGAAAGACTTGTCTATCACAAAGGTGATAACAACAACTATGCTGACAGACTTCCTCTGTAAAGGAAAGTTTGTTATCAGTTATCTAGTTATTATCAATAGTTAGTTATCTAATGCTTTGGAAGAGGAAGTACAAGATTCTATTCACATCTGTGATGCTGGGTAGTGAAATTCTGTGATGATAGGCACTGTAGCAGAGAAATATTGCATGAAAATTGACTGGATTAATTGTAACTAATCTATACACTGAAACATGAGGAGAAGGATTTCAAGAAGTAATTATTTGTAATTACTTTAAATCAACTTTAAAGAGAGAACCTTTGAACTGAAAAGGAGAGCATACGATATGACATCAAATTCATGGGAAAGGGGAACAAGTCATAGGAAGGCAGAGGAATGATGGGATGCAATGAAAGAGAACAGTGGCTGAGGACAATGCACAGGGACATGTGTCTATGAAAATGCAATCACAAAAGCTACCGCTTTGTGTGCTAGCAAAACACATTGCTTTAAAAGATACAGATCAATGATGTGTTTGTTTAATTTGGTTATGAACTGTAGTTATTGCTTACTTTATGAAATAGGAAGATTATTTAGCTATCCGCCAGGAGGTAGGAAATAGACAAGAGTCCCAGATAACCTCGGGTGCATGGGGGCGGGGTGGGAGGGTTGTTGGAAGGGGAGAGGGTTAGAGAGAAGGGAGTAGGGGAGGAATGGGGAAAATTCGGTGGACCGGGATGGGGGGGAGAGAGGAAGGATGAATATGGGATCAGGGAAGAATATATTTCAACTAAGGGAGTCATTTTAGGGTTTACAGGAGACTTGATTATATATGGGATCCCACGTCCAAGGAGAGATCCCCAGATTGTTCTCTGGACAGAGGAGAGGGTGCCTGAACCGGGCTTGGCCCATAACCATACTGATGAATATTTTGCTTATCACCATAGATCCTTCATCTGGTGATGGATGGCGATACAGACGGAGACACACATTGGAACACCGGACTGAGCCCCCCAAGGTCCAAATGAGGAGCAGAAGGACGAAGAAAATGAAAAAGGAAATAAGGACTGCTTGGGATGCTATCACCCATTGATACAAGGGGACGGATCTAATGAGAGTTCACCAAGGCCAGTTTGACTGGGACTGAACGAGCTCGCGATCCAACCAGATTCTCTGAATGTGGCCGGATTCTCTGAATGTGGCTGGCCCGGAGTCTTTCTGAAAAGCCATTGACAATGACACTGGGACTTGTTTCCTCTGAATATACTGGATTTTGGGGATCCAGTCTGTTTGGATACTCACCTTCCTGCACCTGGAGGGAGGGGGGAGGAACTTGAACTTCCCACAGGGCAGGAAACCCTGACTGCCCTAAGGGATGAAGAGGGAGGAGAAGAGGGAGTGGGGGGAGTGGGAGGGTGTTGGGAGGAGGGTCGGAAATGGAAACTTTTATAATTTAATAAAATTACTTTCTAAAAAAAATATTAAAAAAGAAAAAGAAAAGAAATAGGATAGATGAGTACTGAACATTATAACAACTTTCAGCTTACCTCTACATCTAGTTATCTCTCTTATTACTTTTTTTGTTTTTATTTGCTCATTCCTTTATTTCTTCAAGTAGCAGGTTTTGTTTGGTTATATAGGGTACCATTCAGTGGCTTGACTGGAACTAACTGTCAATCCTCTCATATTTACTTTAAGTGATGGATATGAGCCTTGCCAACCCCAGCTCTTCTGATATTTGCTAGTCTCTATCACTTTCGCTTTCACAACATTGACCCCGTCCATAGAGAAAAAAACACGGCAATTTTACAGTTGATTTTTCTTTAATAACTCTTCTTTATCATTTTTTCATTTGCTTTTGCTTTATTTATTATTGGCATGGAAGGTGTAGAATGTCTGTATAAGTAAAGTTGCACATGTGGTCCCATGTGTGTATGGAGGTCAGAGTTGTAGAAAACTGGTTTCTTCCTCTTTATTTTGGAGATCAAACTCAGGTCAACAGACTTGCTATAAAAGACAATTGTCCACAATGGCAGGTTGCTCGATTCTTTCTTTCTTTAAATAATTTATATTTTTAATTCACCAATATTTTTATCATAATAATTCAACATAATTCATAAATATTAGCTGTGTTTAATTTGAATTGACTGATGCAATGGTTTCATCTTTTCTCATGGTTGCTTTAACAGCACTTTAACTCTGATGTTTATTATATTTTCATATCTGAGGAAGCATTTCCAACTCTCAATTTGAAGCTAATTCATTTTAATTTTTTTATTGCTTTTTATGAGCTCTACATTTTTCTCTGTTCCCCTCCCTTCCTCTCCCCTCCCTTTCAATCCTCCCCCAAGGTCCCCATGCTCCCAATTTACTCAGGAGATCTTGTCTTTTTCTACTTCCCATGTAGATTAGATTTGTGTATGTCTCTCTTAGGGTCCTCATTGTTTTAACTTCAGCTTGAGGTCTTTCACTTCTACTAAATACAGGCTCAACACTTGCAACTTGTTGAAGGCAATTGTACCTCAAAAGCTGTTGATTTTCTTCCTAATTTATACTGTGTTGTGTTTCTTCTATGGTCAGAGATATCAATTTGGATCGCATTTAGCATGTGTTTTTATTTTATGATGTATAAAGTCTCCAAAATTTTAAAACTACATGTTAGAATGAACTGTTTTCCTCTCTTTATTCCCTAAAAAAAAGCAAGACTAGTGAAAATATTAAAACTATCTTTACAATAGATCTTTAAAGGTGCCTTTAAAAGAAAACATTACCTTGTTTATTATAGTGTTAATGTATCTTAATAATGTCTCATGCCAAACACACCTAAATAAGAGAAAAAATAGATGAAATTTTAATAAGTTAATTTTAGTCAATGACAATGACTTAATTAAATGAAATATTAATTGATTATTTAAGAATCCTATAAATTAATAAATGAAAGCCTGTAAAAACTCCACAATTCATATCCTACATAGGAACTACATCTATTTAAAACAGACTTCTGACATTCTCTCAAAAGTTTAAATGTTTAATTAAAATGACAAGTGCAAAACAAAAAGAGAAAACAATCTAACAGCTTTTTTCAGAAATTCTGGAATGACCCCACGAGTCTCAGCAGCATAAGACAAATCAATGTTTAACATAATTACTTTTCCTGTATGTGTTTATTAAATCAATACCTAGTAATTCAGTAAAACAGAAAAAAAATGAACTTCTCTTAAATTTTAACACTATTTCTGGGTAAAATATTACAGCAGTATTTATCATTATTTTCTTTAATTTTGACTAAATAGCAACAGTGTATATTAGTTTTGAACTCTGTAGTAAAATGTAAAATCATACCCAATGAAGCAACTATATTTACCATCTGAGAAAATAAATATATTCAGTAAAAATGATTCATTTTAAATTTAAGTTTTCTTTCATACTGAACTGCTTCTGTATATTTTGAGTATTTGTTGCTTTCTGTTGTAGGTGGATTCATCACACCTCTTTTCTGAAGTATTTGGTATGTTTCCACACTTGATATTTGGTGAAATGAATTGCAGAGATACATACAATCAACATGAAATGGAGGAGAAAGTCTCTCCCAAGTCTATCATAGCAGAGGGTGTCAATTCATCTTTTTTTTTTTTTACAGACAAAAAGGATTTCCCATCTTTATTAACTTATATTAGAACACACTGATTTGTATTCTTCATAGAGACATGCCACTAAAACAAAAGGGGAGGTGTGAATGAATGCTCACCTCTTACTTCCAATATTCATAACCAATCACCCTAAATTATCAGAGCTCAATATAAAAATTAACAAGTATAATAAACCATTACATTGTCCAGATATTTTTCCAAATAGTAATTTAAAAACTAAAATTCTTAACCAAATCCAGGAGCAGCAAATAGTTACCAGGTGATGAGAAATTTAAACTCTAACCTGGCAAATCAATTTTGATCTCAAATCTAATAACACAGAGGTGAAAACCTTTGTTAAGCTACATATATGCATATTTCCACAGCCATGTAATAAGTTCTAAAGGTGCTCTGTTTCTATTTTGTAGAGAATCAACCTCTGCCACAATCAGTCGGGAAGAACAGTAATTTGATTCCTAGGAATGGTGCATACCTTTAAATGTTCAAAACACAGTTTCCATCTTTAGGGTATCATAGTCAATGTTCTATAAAACTGTTGGCTGAAGCCTAACTAGTAATAAGGTCTGTGTTGAAAAGAACATCTATTGCCCAAAATAGTTGAGCAAAGTAGATTTTGAGATAATTTGCGGACTGGAACAGATAATTTGAAAGAGACGCTTCAAAAAGGAGTATAAGCTTTTCTTCCCAGGATAAATTATTGGACTCTTTGCACAAGTATATTATTCATATTTTACATAATTAGTAACACTTTTGAGTTTATACTAAATATCTCTAAAATGTTACTTTTTGGTTTGTTTTTATTTTTCAGATAGCACTTTAGCATGACACATTTTTAAGATATCCAATAAGCCATGATTACTACTAATTGCTGCCACTTGGAGGTTCAGAGATTGTGAGCTTTCACTAAATAAATGAAAATAATACCTATGGTTTATAAGGCACACAGTTATCTACATCTCAAGTAGGATTTATTTGATGGACCGCGATAAGTTCTCAGAACATTTGCTGTAACTCGGGTAGAAATAGCAAATATTCACATTAGTCTGGAGTCCAAAAAGGTATTTCAGCTAAAATATGTCAGTCCTCACATCGGCAATCACTTAGAAACGATCAGTGTTGTGCTGGGAAGGGTTTCTGCAGCGACTTCCAGCTGATGCATAGTGCTCAGTGCTTCAGAGGGTTAGGCAAATTCAGTTCCCTTTTGTTCAACAAGGCCTCATCTCCACTACCTAAAACCTGGTCTCCAGTTCCACTGTCCAATGTCTGCTTTACATTAGGTCTTCCTTCAGTGCTATTACACAAGGTGACTGCATTATAAAAGGCCTCCAGATCACTCTGCTCAAATGTAACAGTTGGTTTCAGTGATGTTCCGGGAGCAAGGGAACCTCCTCCAATAATTCTCAGGTTGATAAATTTGATTTTCCAAGTATTTTCCACAAAAGGGCTACGGATAAGTCCAAAAATTTGCTCGAATATGCCCAAACAAGTATTTCCTCTGTGGACAGTCCCTGCAACTCCGACCTTAACTAATCCATGAGGAGAAGAAGCACATTTTAGTCCTTGAGAATCGAGGTTGGGACTTAGAAAAAGGAATTCTTCTTTCACTAAAGACAGTAAACGAAGGCTCACGATTTCTGCTCCATGGTAGTCTATCACGTTTTGTTCTGAGGTGCTATAATAAAACCTAAGCTTGACATCATGCCAGAAGTGCTGCGGGCCCCAATCGTCCTGAGGTGGTCCCATAAACGGATTCTGAGAATTAAGAAGTTCAAAGAACCAGTGACAGAATTCTTCTCCTAAGCGACGAAAATCAATCTTTTCAGATTTTTTGTCTTCTTTTGCCTGCTGTTGAAAGAGCTGGATATCCTCTGTCTTTGTAACTGGTTCTGCTGTCTCCTTCAGTTTCGGTGACTGTTTTTCCCAGTAATCTTTTGCATACTGAATAAGATTGTGTTTTTCAGTAGTTGGAGGTACAACCACCCCTTCTGCTGCCAAATACCTAAATATGATTTCTCGGTGGACTTTTTTGCGCCTCAGAAGTTCTTCTACATTTTGACTATAAACTAATATTGCATGAATAGCATAAGAGGTGTTTATGTGTTTTCGGTGGAAAGTAAACAGCCAGAGCAGCAACCGCTCATTCCCCGGATGATAGAAACTTAAAACTAAAATCCACTCTGGGGCTTTCTGGAACTCATGAGAAACGGCGGACTCGTATTCGGGTCATCGTGTCACCTGAACTGTACCTGGTCGGCCCCGGACACGGGGAGCTGCTCCACCGTGCGACGCGCCGACTCCCCGGGACCGGACTCTGCGGCTCAATTCATCTTTTACAAACCTCCTATCCATGGTGTGCAAGAGCAGACATGTGGGAATATAAATGCCCCTCCTACTGAAAATGTTCCTTCATTCCATAATTGTAGTCTAAGTCACCAAAACAACATATACGGAACCCAGGAACAAATAATCTAAACTTATTTCTTTATAGCTATTGAAATTTAGCTGAAGTAAAGAGTCATTTGTAAATAATGAGATAATATCTATCTAACTGGTGTTTGTGGCTCAAGCTTCTCTTACAATTTTAGAGAGCATGCTAAGTTCTTTATTTTTTTTTTAAATACAATACTGTTTGACCAATGGTTCATGCATATTTGTAGGTAGCTTTTACATCTTAAATTACCACGCTTCTATTCATCTACGTATCACCACAAGGCTGTGGCCTACCAGTAAGTTTCTGGCATCTCTCCTCTGGCAGGTACATGGCGTCTCCCTGACTTCACCTACTCTTTCTATTTATCTCTTCCAGCCTGTCTGTATTCTGCCCTGCCATAGGTGCAAGAAGCTTTTTTAATGAACCAATAATAGCAACACATATACAGAAGGGCATCCACATTATCTACCCTTTTCTGTCTAATTAAAAAGGAAGGGCTTAAATTTAACATAGTAAAATTTCATATACAAAAGTTATCAAAAAAGAATTATAGCTACAATATTTTTAAGTACAAATTTTCATATCTAATTGATATTTTATCATAACTCAGAAAAATTATTACTATCTATCCAATTATTAAGGAGAAAAATGCATAAATTTCTTTCTGGGAAAATCCTGACAGAATTATATTATCTGACCAAAGGTGGGATTCCAGGTTACCGTCTATGATTCTAAAGATGTTACAAAGTGAAAACCTAGAATCATTTCCCCATGTTGTTCATTTATTAGTTTCCTGCCCAACACACTCTACCCATCCCATTAAAGTTCTTTATTTGTTTCTATCTTGTTTCACCTCTTTCTCACATCTTTATATTACTGGGTGAAAGAAATGGCATATTTTCCAACTACATGCTCTACTAACAATGATGGGGCCCAGGAGAAGCTATTCATTTGTTTGGCCTCACTTCTTTCAGTGGGTATTCGATTCCTGGACTTAGTAGATGGCTGCAGCATCTGTGATATATGGTTGTTAATACAGAGGAAATGCTGCAGTAAATATTCTCTAAGCTTTAGACTTCCTTCTACAGGTGATATTTGAAGCTGCCATGGAAGGGAGTCTGACAGGTTACTCCTAGCATTGTGATGAACAAAAGACAGTGACAACTTACATCTGCAAAGCTGTCACAAACACTGCTTCAAGACAGTTAAGAGATGTGGGAGATGGAGATCATCTGGACATATCCATAGGCACCCTTAATACTTGCTGCTTTCAGTGAGTAATGAGAAGAAAAAGTCACTCCCTGTAAAGTCAGATCTCATACTGCATTCTGTGGTGGAGGGACAAGTGATTGTGGCTGTTTAATCTTCATCAAATTACTTTCTAGATATTTGAGTGATGGGAAATAAAATTCTGGAGATAATCAAGAATGTGACTAAATTTAGTTTTAAGTACTAAAGCTGTGACTCCAGAGGTGGATAAACATCTATCTCAGAATGTGTTTCACATCTAACACAGCAGAATAAGGTTAGCAAATAAAATTACCCTTCTCTAAATCTGTATTTGTACTTGTGAAATTCAACTCGAGCACAAAGGAGAATACATCCTTCTGCGCTGTTTTCACTACCTCAGTGATTCAAGAAATTCCACGTACATTTCAGCTCCTTTTCTATCACGTACATGGGAAAAAATGATATTATTCACCTTTGGAGTTAAATGCAGCCTTTGGGTCATTACATATTTTTGAAAGATATTTTTGAAAATAGGAATATGAGTAAGATTTATGCAGAAACGTTCATTGCTAGTTTGATGTGGGATTAACTTCTGTATGCTATGAATATGTTTTGTTACCACTGGTTAATAAATAAAGCCAGGTGGTAAATACATATATATATATATATATATATATATATATATATATATATATATATATATAGAGAGAGAGAGAGAGAGAGAGAAAGAGAGAGAGAGAGATAGTAGGCAGAGTCAAAGAGATGTCCACCCAATGGACTCTTACTAGTAAGTGAAAGACTATTGCTCACACATAGGTTAATAGAAATGGATTAAGATGTAAGAGTTAGTTAATAAGAACTCTGTGATAATAGGTCAAGCAGTGTTTTGATTAATTTAGCTTCTGTTTAAATATTTGAGTCTGGGAGGAAAGCTGAAAAATAACGAGCAGTTTCCGTTTGCAAATTGCACCAGCATGGGGCAACTACGTCCACATAAAATTATAAATTATAGACACAAAAGAACAGAATTATGCACAGTTTCTTGGTAGCTGCATTTTTTTTTTTTCAAATAGACTCTGTTTGCTAGAGGCAAGCAGAGGCATGATTCTTTTAAGAGACTCAGTGGTAGCAGCAAAAGCTGTGTGGCTCCTTTAAGAAGGCTTCCTGGTTTATGGCAGTTGTAGGAATTGGTCTGTTTCTTTTGAATGGTCTTTCTACAGAGCACTTGGGGTTTGTGAGCAGAATGCTTAATGGCAACATAGAGCTGCTGCATCCCTAGAGCTGGGGCAGTGAGCATGGCTTCCGAAGCTGGCAGGGAACGTGCTTGCATGATGATGGCCTGGGCAGAGTCAAAATGCAATGCAGGCAATTAGTCCTAACCATGCATGCTTTGCATTTTAAGAAACATTCCTGGTCAGAAAATGATTATAGATATTCAATAAAGACAGATTCAGACAAAAATAAACCTCTGAACACGTCACAGTTCCTTTAAAAATGTACATCAACTTGAGAGAGAGAGGAAAAAGAGTACAGACAGTTATATAAAGAAGTAAATAGTTTTAAAGAGATAGCAAACGTAATATAAAAGAGTACATACAGTCATAGATTAAAGAGAAAGGAAAAATAAGCCATGCAAAGAATAAATATACACATAAAGTATATATATATATTTGTGTTTTCTTTGAATTTTTTGGCTTCAGAGAGATATTCTATTCTGTGGGATGCTAAGTTATCTTGTCTTCAAGATTTGGGCCTAAGGATATGTTGCTTTGGAAAAGAGGTTCTGCTTTTGTTTCCACAGAGGATGAGGATTCCTTCCAGGCTAATGTGGTTTGTTGGAACAAGACCACTCAAAAGTCCCTAGGAACCCTAAAAATACTTCGCCCAACAAAAAACAGGAAGCAGTATGGAGAAAACTAGCCCCAAATTGCTCAAATGATTCTTTATAAAAATTTGTTTTCATTTGAAGGGGATTCATTATAAGTGATTAAAGGTCACAGTCAATTCTTTAAAAAAATAAGAGTGATATGATATAGAAATGAATATTTTGCATTGGTGTGGATCTTGCTCTCTTGATACAAATTTAAAGTCAGTTTTGTTGCACTGTGTATATAAACTTCTGCTCTTGTTTAAGGCATTGTGTTTGTACAGCTCATTTAAAACTATAATGTATAGTTTAGAAATATAGATTAATTAAAAGTCATCTGTAATAAACAAACTTTTAATCATGTTAGTTAAATTTTCTGATATATGGAGATATATTTCAGTTAGATAGATAATCTTCAACACTTTAAAGCCCTACAGAATATGGCATTTAAAAGGTTTTACGAACTTAGACATGCCTGTTTTGGGAAATTGTCCACTGATGGTTCTGTGTAAACAAAGATATTATTTTCATTACTGTTCCAAATGCTATTCTACACATTGGAGACAGAAACACAAGCAATGAACATTTGATACTTTTACTCTTATCTCGTGAAAAATGCAGAAAATAATTTATTATATAGTAGGAAAGGGAATTCTTAAGAATATAAATTCCAGTAATAAAGGGAAAGAGATAAGGGAGGCAACTGGGAGTTAAATTTATTAGGTTTTATGGTATAAATTTATGAAGCTGTCAAACATTTTAGAATATTAACAGTTATATTTTATAAGCTTTTTAAGGAACAAGAAAATTTCTGATACTTCTGTACCTGGCCAGATTGTCTTTGAAATATTTAATAAAGTATATACTAATATGCAAGAGACTAATATAAATAAAAAAATTAAGTAATAAATATTAAAAGTCTATTATAATAAAACTTTACATTAAAACATAAACTAAAGAAAATAGAAATTAGGTAACTTCTCTCAAAAAAATTTAATATTAGTATTTAAATTTTCCTCTTTCCAGTTAATTTTGTGCCAAGTAACAAACAGCTTATATTTTATTTTCCTCACCAGATGTTATCATGAAGAAAGTTCTTCCATAGTCAGGATGAATCACCAAAAACAAACTCTAAGGTACCACTTAAGACTTTAGGGCTGTCAGTATGCCGTAGTAAATGTGAGAAGGAGCTGAAGAAATGGATCAGCAGCTAAAAGCACAAGGTACTCTTGAAGAGGACCCAGTTTAATTTCATGCACTCACATGAAGGATCACTGGCATCTATTAGCAAAGATTCAGGTCTAATGACATCTGCAGATCTCATTGGGCAGCAGATACACATGAGTGGACACACATTCATGCAAACAAAACATGCAAACACAGAAAATAAAATACATTAAATATTTTTAACGAAATGAGTAAAGTTTTTTGAGTTTCTATAGTAGAACAGAATAAGCCACTACCTGAACCCTCTCCCAGAAACAACAGTAATGCATGTGTCTGTGACATGTTGAGAGCCAACCAAAGAAATCTAACTCTGTTTCATTTTACTTACACTTGAGTGACTATAATAAAATGCATGCCTGTTGGTTCTCAGTTAGATAGCTCTCTCATGCTTCCACTGTGATTTCTTCCCACTCAAACTACCCTTCCTGAAACTTTCCAGGTACTTCCGGGAATCTGTTTCATTCTAATATAAAAATCCTACTTTCTCAATTTCTTAGTCCTTTATATTTTTGGTCTTATTCATGTTGTTGTCAGCATTTTTTTTTTTTTTTACTTATTAAGAACAAAAATCCCTTTCTGTCCTATTCTCAGATC